CATTGTGTGTATAGAAACCTGCTTCCAGATTTCAATTTTCCAGAACTAAGGTAATATTAAAGGGACATGCATCACTTTGAGACAACTGTCTAATTCAAAAGGTTTTTGAAAGTTTGAAAGACATTTTGAAAGTAAAGGTATCTCTGTATTAGTTAAATCTCTCTTAGACATATTATCCAAACTTATTTGAAGAAATTCAGAGATTTCCTTGCATTCCTGCTTGGGTATGTCTTGCGATTGCTTATGGACTAAAGGACAATTTTTCATGTGTTGGTATTTTTTTGTACGATAATATGTCCATTGTTTTCCTCCATCCTGAATGGATTCTGTACAGGTTGAACTCGAACCATCACTTGAAACTGCAGTGGGCATATCTCCTTGCAAAAACCCATAATAATCACTGCTAAAGCTCACCGCACAATCAGACCATTTGGATATCGCTGGCCTGAAGGATGCCTGGATGTGAAACACCTCTCATGCAATGTTCTCAGATACTCATGCATAGCTTCCTCTTATTTGTCCTAGACTCCTTTCAGTGATTATGGCTTAGCTTTTTTTTCTGTTCCTGAGTGATCCAGACATGTCCTACCTCTACAGGTTAACTGGGCTGACTAATTTTCCCAGTACTTCCTCAAGTGTTTCTGGTTCAATAACTCAGGGCAATAATCCCGTAACTGAGGTGCTCTCAGACGCATGGTCAAAGGGAATGGCTAGAAAAAGAAACCACAAATTAATCATCTCTTCTTAGACTCAAGCTACACTCTGGAGAAAACTAGACTAGAAGCTTGCTGGTGACTTTACAATCTCTATAGCTAAAACAATCTGAAAGAAAACTCAACTTTACCTTCTATTACCAAACAGGATAATCTTAGTAACAATGAATGATGTATGTTGGTTCTACCAACATGGTACATATAAAGATAACTAATTATATACTTTTGATAGCACTAAAAACGTATTTTGCTCTAAAACAGAATGAGAGAGCTGGTATGTGGCATTATCCTAAGTTTTCCTTAGTGATGAGGCATATAAGAAGCATTGATGAGCCATCTGTGCACCAGAAGCATCAATTTCCTACCATGTGCTGCTTCCTAATGGAAGGGTGTGAAAGTTTGCTGGCTGTCGAGTCCCAAATACATTCATTATTCGTTCAGTAATTGTTCGCTCTACTGTTTATTGCAACAGTCTGTAAAGACTAATGGATTTCTGGGGTTAAAATGATCCATGAACTTTAGAGAGTTCAATAGTAATTCTTGAAATTATTAATGAATACTTTCCATCTGAAAAGGATGTACACGTTCTTAAAGCAATTAGAAGTACATATTGCTTGTTCATCTTTAAATGTATAACCAGCCTCTAATTTGGTAAAGCCAACAAGAGAAATTTGCAAGTAGCAGAACAGCTGCAGTGATTTACTTAGATGAGGCAGTGACCTTGAAAAACATGTGACATACAAAGTACTTCATCTTTATACTAATGATGACTAAGCCATGTAACTGTTTTGAGAAAAAAAAAAACATATAAAAGAACGTAGATAAAGATTAGGAAAACACAATAATTTGTTATATGGATCAATATATGGATTGATTTATCTTCTCAATGGAAAACTTGGAACTCTATATATTGGTTATACTTCTATGACAACACTTTGCTTTCCTGGACCTTCCTCCTGCAAATTAGTTACCAAAGGGTTTGAATTGACCATTATTTGGCTAAATTCAAACAGACCTAACCTTGATTTGTTGCACTTTTGTAGTACAGTTGGTTTATGCAAAGGGAGTAATCAACAGTAGTGGATGGTCAATGTGTTCTGGTCAGGCATTTATGGAAACAACTTTTCAAGGATTGTCCCTGGCCACGAAGAAGGTTTCTTCCCACATAGGTTTTAATGCAGGGGGAGGGTGGGGAGGGAGGGAGTGTAGGAATTAATATTATGACAAGGAGGGAGCTGGTAGCACTGCTGGCATCCTCCTTGTTGTTTGTTTCCCCGCCTGTGCAGTATTATTTCTCTGTGCTGTGGGGGTTAATTGCCCTGCAGCACGGAGTCTATTAATGAAACGAAATGAAATGAAAAGGTAATGCATTTGGCATTTGCTCTTTCGTTTCAGAGTGACCCCCATACTGAATTTATATCCAGTTTTAAATTATAGCGAGCAGCCACAAGTAGTTTTAAATTTGTTTAGGCGACATTTCATGCTGCGATTTGGGGCATGCGGGAGGATTTAACCTCCCTTTTATTAATATGGGGGATCATAGTGACCCCCATAAGTTTTAATGTGGGGGGAGGGAGAGGGAGGAAGGGAGGGGGAGTTCTGCCGGCTCCCTCCTTGCTTTTTTTTTTTGCGCGCATGTGAAGTGTTATTTTGATCCTTTTTTCAAATATCAAGAGTCTTAGAATTGATTCAGCAGTGCCCTTGTATGCCCCAGCAGTGATGTTAGCTTTATCGGAATAAAAGTTATTTTCCTCTTTTTTTGTTGATTGAGAGGGTTTCTTCTCTCCTTTCCTGGTGGAAAGAAGACACCCCTCAATCCACAACATGACTGTTCAATCAGATAAAAAAGTTAACTTCTCTAAAAAAAAACAAACACAATTTACAAAATGTTTAAAAAAAATATGTTTCACTAAAAGTATTAAACTTTTTTTTTTTTTTTTTAATTCATAAGTGGAAATTAAAATGAAGGCACAGGGCCACTACAGGCACTCTAGTCCATTAAATGAGATGACATGGTTATTGTGCCTACAGAGTACCTTTAATGTTGCCAAGCAATAATTGTGTAACTACAGAGACATAGAATGAAGTCTCAAAATTACCCATTTTTACAACATCGATACCTGATAAGATTCTTACTCTCAGTTCAAGATATTCTGTCCATACATACTCTTTTAACCTTAACATGCACTACAAACATTTAGCACATGAGGGCAGCATTCCCTACCAAATACCACCCACATATGGTTTAGACTTTCTGTTCACTTTTTATTATTATGATGATTATTATTATTATTATTGCCATTTATATAGCGCCAACAGATTCCGTAGCGCTTTACAATATTATGAGAAGGGGGATTTAACTATAAATAGGACAATTACAAGAAAACTTACAGGAATGATATGTTGAAAAGGACCCTGCTCAAATGAGCTTACAGTCTCTAGTTGATACATAGTAACGAAATATATTAACCTCTTATCTGTGTTGCATTTTTTTGATGAACTGATGCACCCAAAATAAAATATTGATTCATTTACAAAACCAGGGATTAAGCTGCAGTAAGGTGAAAGTAATAGACCCATGGAGGCACAAAAAAAGAACATGGACAAGTTGAGGAAATATGAAGCTTTTCTCTAGAAAATTGGACAAAATTTTTAAAAAATTAGCATTCTCGGGACACTCTATAGATGGTGCCTAAATAACTATTTACACATCCCTTATCCAGAAAACAGGAGGTGATCTCTGCACATCTTCTACCCAGAGAATAAGGCAAGGGCCAGAGGTTACAAAAGGAACTTTGCCTATTATTTTCTGGTAAATTATTCCTATATTTTAATTTAAAAAGTAATCAGAAATTGTAGGAAGATTTTATCTTTTACCTGTTTAATGTATGCCACAATGAATATCATTAAACCTTTTTCATTTTTTTTTTTTTTTTGACAATCTTTATTTTTCAAATTTTTCAGGTGACATGAATTATACTTTTTAAATAAACTGTAATTTCAAAAGACAAATTGGACGAACAACATTCTTTTCAGGTAGTTTGGAGTGTGTACCGCCTTGTGAGGGTATCAACTCCGCTATGTGTCAATTATGGGTGCGGAATTTTGAGGCATGTACTATAGGATGTGTCTCTTTGTGTGAGTCTTAAGGCATTGGTAACCCTATCAGGCAACTTAATAGTACACAGGGTGGTGATGTCGTGCGCTATAGTCCCCCGGAGTTCTCCCCCAGCCCTTTCTGGTTAGGAATTTCGGTACCCTCTTGTATGTATATCTGGCCCCTCCTCTGCGTGTCAGCTCCTGTCGTCCACTGCCCCCTTTGTCTCTCTGAGTCTTAGGTCGTCAGACGGTAAAGGTGC